TTTTCTGTGCCTATCATGTTAACATAATATTCACTCAAAGCAAAGCTAAATGCAAACAGGTTCCACTAATTTGCGAGCTATCATGGCCTGTGAAGTTCAGTTGTCTTCCCTCCAGCACTGTTTCTACATGTTAAAGACTTGTCAGGCCATGGGAACTATGAAAATGTCAGCAGGTATTATAATACAGCAGAGCCACAAAGACCAACCTTTCCTTTCCAGTAGGGAGGGCATTGTTTGGTTATTGAGCACAATAGTCAGATGTTCAGAATGCTTTCTCTGTAATTACCCATGGTCACTACAGCAAACTCTTCTGTGTGTGTGTGTGTGTGTGCACACGTGCGCATGCACACACACACAAGTGTGCACACTCTGTACATATTTTGTTTAATTAGGCACTACCACTTGTATTCTGCTTTCCAGTAGGTATGATTACACACCTCATCTGAGTGCACTGCTGTTCTGAGTGCTTCTCCCTTCTTCTTCCAGTGGAAGTGTTTCCCACTGTGTCCTTTCTTTTCCTGAATGCTTTGGTGTGTCTCTAAGGCTTTCTCTCTAGAGAAACAACACTGTACATCATCTTTTGGTACCATCTCAGTTTTCATGTAGTGCTGTTCAGAATTTAAAAAAAAATAATCTTTGTGGTTCATTGATAGTTTCAATTTACATTCTGCCCTCCCATGACCAGCACTACCTGGAGGCCGACTGGCTTTTGAGGAGGAGCCTTAATAGTGCCCCTTCAAAGGGCATTTGCACAAATGAAGTTTATGTGTATGTACATAAAGTCTTCTTAAATTATAGTACTGGGTTTCACCATCGAGGCCAATTAGACATAATAGAACAGGTACATAGGCAGGCATATGCTGTTTAATTGGCAGGAAGATTATGAAATACAGCCCTTGCTACACAAAGAATTAATTATGCAGGTTGGACACCTGCTGCCCTGGTCTGCTCTCTTAATTGCAGGGGGTGGGCACCTATACCTTTTAAGTCATAAAAAGGCCGTCTATGTACATTTGTTAAACACAAAGAACCCCAATAAGAATAAAATTAATGTTACCATTATGGCCATTAACAACCAAGCCACTCAACTTACCTTTAGATTTCTTTGAAGATATGTTAAACAATTAAGTAAAAAAAAAAAAAGCAACACATTTACATATGTGGTGTAGTCTTGCACTGAATAAAGATATAACCTTTATTTAGCCTTTGATGGTCATTACCACAAAGCAGTCTCCCTAAAGAAATATTGGAAAAAATAATAAAAATACAAATTTAGAAACTGGTAAATGGTATAATTCTAATTTTACATGCAATATAATGGAAATGATAGGAAACATGTTAGAGAACTTTTAGGATGATTTTCTATGTGGGCCATGCTACTGGAAAATAAACAGAAAGTTTGAAATGTAAAGCTTAAAATAAGTTCAGAGGTAGTCTATTTTGCATATTTTTTAGAACCTGGAAAGACTGGTTTCTGATTTCTTCTGCTTTTTGTTTTTCTAATCTGGAGTATCAGCTATCAGCCAAAGTTCATACCAAGTAATAATTGCTAATAAGGTAATACCTCATAGGCTTAAAGATTGAACTTAAAGCACACTTGAAATGTAGTTTGTTAGGGCTTTAACCACAGAAACTTATTTTCTCCCAATTCTAGAAGCTAGGAATGGAGATCAAGACAGTGACTGGGTTGGTTCCTTTCTAGATCTCTCTCCTTGGTGATAGATGATTCCGCTACTGGTGACTGTACATATTGCCCCTCTGTGTTTCTCTGTCCTAGGCTTTTCTTAAAGGAACACAAGTCACTTTTTGGATTGGAACCATCCCGATCTTAATTACTTCTGTAAAGATTGTATCTCTAAATTCAGTCACATTCTTAGGTAATCGTGGTTATAACTATTCCATTTAAAATTTGAAGGGACTCAAGTTAGCCCCTGTTTAAAATTACTTGTTGAAAGTGGCTTTTGGAGGGTTGATCACCCCTATGGTTCCTCACCCCAAATTTGAGCTCAGCGGCAGCAGGAAGTATCCACGTGTGATCTGCAGAACCCAACATAGTCTCGGTACAGTGTCTACATTGCAGCTATTTCATGAACTCTTTGTGAAAAATGCATGGAGACTACTAAGAAATAGGGGACAGCAAAGTGATCAGTTCTGAACATTATCAATGTCCCTGATTATTAGCAGATGAACCAAAATAGTTGCTACAAGATGTCTAGATGAGGAAATGAAAATACAATCTATTCAAATGAAGACACCTTTTGTCAGGAAAATAAATGAATATGTTTTGCTTATGACTTCCCATGCTCCATGTCCAGCACTGTAATTGAAATGAACATTGAGGTCCTTGTGCAGCACCAAAGGTCACGTCTGAGCCATTTGAGAGCAAGGATAATGACTGTCAATAGACCACAAGTCTAAGAATGAACACAGATATAATGTAGATAGTACTATCCAGCTTCTTCCCAAACTAACTGTACTGAAAAAAGAAATAAATTATGGCTTTTAATGCTGCATCTAGAGATCTGTTGGGTTCTTAGACAACAGCCAAGCAGATTTTAGGGATATAACTGAGACTTCTCTGTCCAGACCATTTTGCGCTTCAGGTCTGACATAGAAAGAAACTGGAAGATCTTTACTACAAGGTAAAGTTTGTCTTCCTAAAGAAGGCAATTATTATTTGATGATTCTAACACATGAAAAAGCTTAACTAGAAATACCTTTGGTCAACTTGTAGCTAAATTAATGTGTCTCAAAAAATAGGCAGGGAGAAAGTTTCCTTAGTGGTGAGTTTTACTTTCAAATGCCTGTATTCCCAGTTCTTTACAGAAAAAAAAATCATTGACATTTTCTTGAGACTAAGAGAAGTCTTGGAAAAACAAATCATTAGAATAAGCAAGAATTTTTCTGAGAGGTAAGTGATTTGTCCTACAAATTAGAGATTGGAAGCTTTAGCATTGGTGTTTGGAACCTAGAATTTAAATGCTAAAGTAGTTCAATTTTGTTCAAATGGAATAACCCAAAGAAGCACAAGAGCCCAGAAATTACATTTGCTTGACTTTTTTTCATTGTTTCCATATGCCTACATTTTATATGAATTTTAATAATGTTTTTTATTTCTAAGGAAACTTTTTCTCACTTAGTACTTGTAATATTTTAAGTTGTGCTTAAAGAATGCTTTTTAAAGCAGTAATTTTGAAAAGCAATAGCTTTATATCAACCTATACCAATTAGACTTAAAATGGATCTCAATTTGGGTCTCCTATAAGTGAAAGCCAAATTCAGATTTTTAGGTGCTATGAATTTATGCCTTGAAAAGAGCTTGGATATTTTAGATTTTAATTTTGTTTTCTTCACACATTCCTGGTAAATGTCAGGAATAGCCTCTTGTCACAAAATAGATGGCGTGATTTTAGGCAAAAATGGAATCTCTTTTAGATGAAGATAGGTTAGGGTTGGAGAAACTCTGTGGCTCAGAAATCAAATCAACCAAAAGTGAGAAAATCATTCCAGATCTTGCAGAATGAGCTCCCAGGTATCTAAGACCGCAGTGTTAGTGATGGCTGTGGACTAGTGTAATTTTGAGAGAAAGGGGGTAGGTGATTTGCATTCTAGGATAACATGAAATTAATAGGGTAGTGTAAGGAAAAGAGCAGGGAGTAAGTCTAGATAATTAATTTTAGTTACTCTCCTATCCTGCACCATGTTGTTTTGAGTAAGTTGGTTATCCTTTTGAGTTTCATTTTCCTTGTTGATATAATGAAAATAAAACCTACTCACAAGCTTATTATGCAAAATTACTTTATAGATAGATGTGCTATAAACATTAGTGGTGATAAGAGCAAAGATACTACTGTAATATTATCCCAGGGACTGAACCTGGTTATCTACATTTCCTACCTCATGTTTCCTAGCCAAATGGACTAATTAATTGGCTTATGCAAAACTTTCAAAACCAAAAATAACACCTAAGTCTATTTATTAACCTACTAATAAAGTGTGATTCTTAATTATTATTTGTTAAATAGCAGGCTTATCTGCAAAATGGAGAGTCAGAACTAGAGGAAATCTTATCTAATTTCATCCCTTCTCTTTGGGCAGGGCTGTATCAAATATGAATTAGCTCTGACAGATGGTTGTTGGATTCTGTTTCTAAATTTTTTAAAAAGATTTCACAGTTTTCCTCTCTGAATTCTTTAAGTAATTTAACGAAACTTGTGCCAAGTTTTTCCTTATAGCTGACCTAAATCTGTAGTGTGTAATTTTAAGCCCTTTCTCCACTGCAATCTGTCTTCACTAGAGATGAGGAACAGCTGGTCAGCACGCTTACACTAACAACCCTTTGTATATTTAAAGAAGCGTTACTCAGTTTGCCTCCCTGTCCATGTCCTTCTGCCCTGCAGAATTCATCAGCTTGTGTTCTTTGAGTCATTCGTGCAACACTGTCCCGATCCCTACCCCTTTCTCAGACGACTGGCCATTTCAGACAGCTGGGTACAGCTTATCATTAGTGACCTCATGGATCTGGGCAGAATATGAATTCCTTCTGCCCTTCTCCCTTTTGCTTTGTGCATAATCTTTAGCTTTATAATAAATGGTCCAAAGCAACTCCTAATTGTGTTGGATGAGTACTCGAAACATGCCATAAATATGGAGTGTTGCAGGCATACTTATTATGCATAGGTTGCTTTGAAAAGCCTCTTTGGTGATTTGGTGCACCCTGCCAGACATGCCATTAAGCTGCTACTTTGCCTGCTAAAGATAACATTGATTGATACCTCTGCTCTATTGGAAGACACTGAGCTAAAACTCTCCCAAGTGCAATGCACATTCAGAAGAGCACTACCAATTTGGAAGAGGTAATGGGTTTCCCCAGTGCTCTAAGTTGTATTAGGGAAAGAAGTGATCATTGAAAAGAATTGAGCTTTCTAAGCTGATCCCACGGGGTTTCAGAGAGGATCTTGTTTTTAATCTGAATCTGTGTAACTTTTATTTCTATACAGGTTTACTACCCAGAGCTCCTTGTCTGGGTCAGTCAAGGACCATTTCCAGACAAGGAAATGGATGGAAGTCTTCCTAAGGTAAGATCTCTAGCTACGAATTCACAGACACCGTTTGAAAGCTAGCAGCATAGAAAACTGAACTTACTTCTTTTTTAGTGTCATATCTATTACATGCTACTAAAATAATCAATCTTGTTAATAGCAAGTATTTTAAAATCACAGCTTAAAATCTTGTTGCTCTTAAAGTTTTTGTTAGTTTTCTTGACAAGTAAAAGCAAATTTTCATGTAAGAATCATAAAGTCAGTATGTCAAATTGCATTTCACAAACCAAGCAATCCCACTTTGGGGCATTTACCCAAAAGATCACAAACAAGACCATAGTAAAGCTACCAGCACAACTATGTTTATCACAGCATTATTCACCATAGCTAAGATATGGAACTAACCCACATGCCCCTAAGTAGATGAATAAGTCAAGAAAATGTGGTATAAATATACAATGGAATTCTATGCCTCCATCAGAAAGAATGGCATCGCCCCATTTGTTAGGAAATAGAAAGACTTGGAAAAAAATTATATTAAGTGTAGTAATCCAGGCCCAAAGAAACATAGGTCCTATGGTTTCCCTTATTTGCAATAACTAATATATGTACATATTCTGCTTAGAAAAGGTCAAAAGCTATGTACATATGACATAACCTGATGTGAAGCAAAATGAACCCCAATATAGGGACACAAGAGGTTTTATCTTTGTTGCTCCTGTTTTTAATGTACTATGTGATTTTTTTTTGTTTCTTTTGTGTGTTCCTCGCCCATTGTATAACCCCTATTTTCACTGTATTTGGTTCTGGTGCCTTGCATCTTGAATATACATTTTTCTAATTTGGGGAGCAGAAGGGAAATAACAAAATGCTGAAATAAGGATACAATTATGACCCATTATAGCAATGAGATGTACAAGACACTGTTGAAAATGAACTTTACAACTGCGGGGGGGGGGCAGGGGTGAGGGAGGAGTTGTGGAGATGTAGAGGGAAGGGATGAGGGGAAAAACAAAGGAGGGGGTAACAATGCTCCATAGGAAGTGTACTCATTACCTTACTCATGTAACTGTAACTCCTCTGTACAGTATCTTTACAATAAAAAACATATATTTAATTAAAACAAGAAAAAAATTGCATTTTACAAACTTTAAATTTGCTTCATTCTTGGATTAGACAAACAAATATGAAAACATAAAAACTGGAAGGTGAAGGCAGTTAAGGATTGAGATTTCTTAAAAGTGTGAAATGATGGCATTGTTTGGTCTGCTAATAATGCCTGAATATCCAGTGAGATCACCCAAGAAACAAAATAGGGATCACATAATTGTTATGTTTTTCCTCCTAATTTTTGGGAATTCCTTTGGATCCATATGATTTTATGTCTGTGATATTTTAGTGTGGCAATTCCCTGCCTTAAGGAAATTTAAAATATTATGTTTAGATTTTAGCACCATTCTTAAAATTTAAAAATAATAATTGACTAGTTTTACCTGTAGATACCTTTGGACTTTACCTGTTAAGGTAAATATCAATTTGACCTCAAGTAGGAGGACTGTGTTTTTTTTGCCACTGACCTGCTGATTTCGCAATTAATAAAGAGTCATAAAACTTCTATTCAGAAGTTTCACAAGTGTTATTAACCAATGGTAAAGCCTCCCCCAGCTATGACTGGTATTCTAAAATTTAAGAAACACTATTTACACTAAATAGTTTCAACAGTTCTCTATTACAGACAGGCAGAATTGTAGAACAGGTGCCAATTGGCAGTTTACACTAAAAAAAAAAATCCAACAACCTTAAAGCATTTTTGATTTTTAGAGAATTTCTGAAGGTCAAGGTTGAGATAACTGGTAAGAAAGTAGATGGACAAAATAGTTTAAGACCTTCCTGAGCTAGACCTAAACTGTTCTTGTAGAGTTGAGTGGAAGAGAGCTAAAATACTAGAGTTCTGCCACACTTTGCACCTCCCCCACACCTCCTACAGTGTCCCCTCTCCAAGTGCTGGGGCTCAAACCCAGAGACCTGCTTATGCTAAACACATTCTTGACCGCTGAGCTACAACCCCACCACTGTGAGATATATATCCGAGACAATCTTCACTGCACCGGATCAAGGTGTGATAACTCTGAGGCACCTGAATGGAAAATGGGAAGACAAACTGTAGCCTTTTTAAAAATTAATTCTTGCTTCATTCAGAGATCCCAAAGTCCTCTCTCTGATACTGGAGATATCAAGTACGTGGGCAAGACCAGATAAAATTCCCTAGTGCGGTCAATGGCCCATTCCTCTTTTTAACTTTCAGACACTCAGTCCAGGGGCCGTGTCTTACCTCCACTGAGGCATGTTCCAGCGGGTGAGCATAGTGGACTGTGAGAGCCATGCCTTCCACTATTTTAAGTTCTCCCCTCCTTCCATATGAGAATCATATTTCAAGCATGATATATTTATTCCTTCTCCAGCAGTTTCCTTTGGGACAAGCAGAGCTTTGCCTAATAGTATGAAAATCTTGTCCAGTGCACTTTACTGAGAAACTAGAGACAAATCCAGTCATCATCAGAGGGAGAGCTTGCTATCCTGAAGTGTATCCATCCCAGGAAGACCAGTCTGGATGATGCCCCTGCTGGAGGCCCTGGGCACCCTGTTCCATTTTCCACTCCAGCCTTCTATATTCTAATATTCATGTCTCTCAGCCTTCTAGGAACAATTATGTGCAATTGTTATTTTTGCTTGAACTCCGGTGAGTTCTGGCTTCTGGAGAAATCAGATGTCAACGTACTTCCTCTTCAAAATGCCTCCATTCCCTTGATGTTCTCAGAAACCCGCAGTAGCCCACCTACCTCCTTGCTGTTAGCCATGGCCTTGCTGTTAGCCAATTACTTGGTTCTTTCCCATACAGCAAGTTAATTAAAGGCAGATTAGGCAGGGAGTGTTTTTGATTCTGTGACCCTGTAGGCTTAACATCTAATAGAGTACTCAAGCACTCAGAACATGAATAATAAATGAATGTTTTGGGACCTCAGAAGAGAAACAAAATAGTAAAAATGCTAAATTCATATCTGAAGTACTCTTCTTCACTTTTTCTTTCTGGAAGCCCATCCTCATCAGCCCCTAGTTCTTTGTCTCAAGTTGTTTATTTTTCAAGGAGGTAAAAGGTTAGTCAGACTAGACATGTACAGAGATAGACCAATGTGCTAGCTATTCACTTTAGAACAGAGTTAAGTCCGTTTCAAGGCCAGCTGTGTAAAGAATGTACTTGTTACATGAGTGAAATAACATTTGTAAGCTTTTGATTTCCTTTTCTTCCTGGCTTGTGAAAACAGCCATTGAAGTCTTCATTTGTCCAAAACAAAGTTTGCTATGTCCTAAACCACACTACCTGGTAAACTGAAGTGGTAGCATCATTTTAAAGATACCAATGGATTTCTCTTGGCAGTACCAGGGTTTGAACTCAGGCTCTTACATTTACTGCTCTACCAATGAGCCCTGCCTACAGCCCCCTTGTGCACAGGTTATTTTGAGATAAGCTTTTTGCCTGCATCTGGATCCCAATTTTGCTATTTTTATACTTCTGGCTGCAGCCGGGATGATAGGTATGTGCCACTGCACCCAGTGTGATTTTGTTTTTAAATTTTGTGATTGTATACCAATATTTCAAAATGAAAATTATTTTGAAACCTACAAGAAGCTGCTCAATCTCACTATGCTTCTGGAAATTTTATGAAGATCCTTAAATGTGTTTGAGTGGTGAATTCTAATTTTCTGGTCTAATCTCACTGGTATTTAATGATAACAAAATAACCTCTAAAATTACAACCTAAGACTTGAGCATTAAAATATATACTTTGTGGAGTCTGGGTCCTATAAATATTGTATGCTTTCAAACTCTGAGATTTTAAAACTGAAGTTAGGCATACCAGATGTTTTACATAGAAATCCTATGCAGTATATATGGTTCCCTGAAGTTGAATTATTTGCTGCATTTAGTTCAGCCTGAGGCTGCTGAAAATATTTACTCAGTTTCAAGTTGGAAGTTACTGGTTTCTGAATTCTTAAAAATAAATTCAAATATGTTAATTTACAGATTGCAAAGAGTATTTCTTTCATCCAAGCATTATATTCTAGTAAAAAGAAGAAAAAAGAAATGAAACCAGGTCTTTTCAAACCACAAAAGATAATTTCTTCCAAGAAAATGCCTATAATTAATAGTTAATTAGCTAAGAGACTGTTGTCAAATCTGACTGTGCTTATACCTGATCAGAGGCATGCAATTTTTTGTGTGTGGAGCATTCCAATTTTCATATCCCTTGGGTAGTGGGCCTTATTCCCCTGCCAACTGTCTGCTTAGCTCTGGTGGAGCGCTGCCCTCCACGGCCAGCCCCCTTCAGCAGTGGCAGCAAGAGTGCACTTAGGTTAGATTGGTCTAGTCAGAAATGCAGAATATCAGCCATCAGAACAGGCTTAGAAGAACCCAAGTCAACCCAGACTAGCTGAATTTCACACTTAATGGAGTTGTCTTCCCAGGCCCTTCCCCTAACTTCCTTCCCAAACACTCCCCTCCTTGGTACCCACTGCTGCTGACCATTGAGACACACAGGAAATGTGCTTCTAAATAAAAACCTGTGTTTTTATGTATTTTTATTGTGTGTTAGAAAACAGACTCCATGACATCAACTTAACATACATTTTTAAAAGAAATTGTCTATTGACACACAGTCTAATGACAGGCCCTTTCTAATGCTAGCAACTAGCCTCAGAAATCTAACTCCCAGGAATGCTGCCTCCCCTGTGGCTGCCCACCATCATCACCAGAGCACTCGATGCTGTTGAAGCAAAGGCGGCCAGTATTTAAGTGCTACATGTCCTCAGACCTCATATTTACATTCAGGTGGACTGTGTTTAATGTGTAAACTCTGCAAAATAGCAAGAGTTCAAAGCTAAAAAGTGGGTGGGAGAAGCAAAAATTTTAAAGCATGGTTTCAGAAATATGACTAAGTTTGTCTTTTGTGTCTGTCTGTCTGTCTGACTGTCTGTCTTGTCTGTTTTCATATGGGTCCACCTGCTTCACAGGGAAGATTTCCTGTCCCAAAGGAAGTGAACCGCAAGAAAGATGAGACCAGTGCTGCCCACCTGACTCCGCTGGGCAGCAATGAACGCGGCTCCCCAAGTATCAGTTACCTCCACTCTTTTTAATCGTGACACCTCCATTTGTATTACATATGGTGTATGGGTATTGATGAGGTCATGGTATCATATATGGGATTTTTTTCTGTGTAAATCATCGAGTGTAAGAAGAAACTATGGGACTCTGAGCCTTGCTTTACAGAATTTACAGTGGACAAACAGGTATCATCAAACCAGTTTTTAATCATCCTGACTCAAGTGAAAACGCTCAGAATTTCACACTGTGAATCCACGTTTACAAATCCCTACAGATGGGCCTTCAGGCCTGGTTCGCCACGACAATGTCTTCCACAACTCAAACCCCTGCCGTGCTTACATGACTGGTCCACTCTGCCTTCTCGCTCACACAGCTCCTGACTGCTTTTGTGCAGAGGCTGAGAGTCCCCATTTTTTTTTTTTCATTTAGATGTAACATGCCTAGTAGTTTATGTTCATCAATTGTCTGTATATCTCTATATTTTATCCATGTACTCTTTTGATGTATAGAAGTAGTTCGAAACTCATTGTTTCCTTGTGGTAAGTGACCGAGATGCTGCCACAGGACCTGAGACACTGATGAATGGTGCTATTTTGGACTTTCAACATGCTCCTTGGCGAGGTAGCTCTGATGGAGTTATTTTTTATTTCCATGTTCTAAGAAGGTGTTGGTACTCTGTTTCCCTGAATGTCGTTCTCTAGACTGGATTGACTTGTTTCCTTGTGTCTTCAGTGTGGCTTTCTTCCTCAGTGCTGTAGGTTGAATGAATGCTACCGAGAGTGTGAGAGCCTGCCGTCCCACTGGCTGGCACTCCTGGACAACGCAGTCAGCGTAGCGGGAGCAATTGCAAAACTGTAATTTACTTACCAAATCTCTTCCTTTCCATAGCCTCGCCTGCCTGACTTAGAGAAAGAAAAGCAATAATTTTACAGGCATTTTGAGGTGTCTCTTTGGATTCTTTTCTGTTTGACTGGATATTTGGGGGAAGGGGAAGGGTACACATTAGAAATAAATAAATAAATGTCCGATGATGGATGGGGTGGGGGTGGGGTGGAGATCCAAGGCACTGGAACTTAAGTAGGAATAAGGAACATGACATACCTGACCCAAAAATTAAGTTGGAAAAAAAAATGTCTTTACAAGTAATGATGGTAAAAGGGAGAGCACTCTCTTTTGTCTGGCAGTTTTTGATTCACAAGGTGTAGACTTTGCAATTTTGTCCTTGCTCCTGATGAAATGGATAGACAAACAAAAATCAGATCAGATAATACCATCTACTCATGGAATTGTTGTTGTGTTAGCCAGTCTGAAAGCCCACCTTAATTTTTATACAACTGTCTTTTAGCTCTTCCTTTGACAGGGCAGGCCTTGTTCTGAACTGTTTCTCCCTTCTGACTGTTAAACACGATGACTGCATGCGCTACATTTCTTTGTTCTTTCCTTGCTCCCCCATTGGCCTGAGTTTCTTGTGTGCTCCTCCCACCCGCCCCCCCTCCTCTGTTAGAATAAGTATATCAGCTGTGTAAATAGAGCAAGAAAACAGTATTCTGCATCTGTGACATTTATGTAGAGTTGCAGTTGTGTGCTGCTGAAAATGCAGGCTTTTGTAAACAATGTGATCTTTACTGATGCACTCACAAGTACCCAATGTATTTTAGCTATTTTAGTAGTATTTGTTCAATAAATATGCAAGCTGTATGATCACTGTCTGATCTGCCTCGTCATTGAAGAGTCCTACTTTTTAATGCCTTCACTGATTCATGCTAATTTTTTCTGTTCCCAGACTGCTGAGCCCCAAGCCAGTAAACCCAAGGGCAAATATCAAAAGAGATTGAATCAGTTCTGCCTTTCATGCACGTCCCCTTTGTAGGGTTTTATGAGATTAGGGGCTTGGCTAGGTGATCATTAAGATGGTATTAGCAGAGCTGCCCACGGACACAAAAGAGAATTAGACTAAAACCTGTTTCCAGTCATATTCTTCCTTCCCACACCCACATGCTTCAATACTTGCTCCTTCTCATTCTATGCTCTTATGATTTTTTTTTAATCCATGGCAAAAGACAGCCAACCTCTCTTCTTCATGCAATATTTGGCCTTTCATATAAACAAAAAGCTTACACTTGTAAGAAGATAAAATTCACAGATGAAAATTTAAATTATTGCACAGTGACCTACAGCTACCCAGAAGATGATACGATGCCATCACCAGAATCTTGTGGAACTCTCATGTCACCCTGAAAACCTGGAGATTTTGGAAGATGTGTGCTCCCCATTTTGAGAAATGCTCACCTGCCTCCTCACCCATTGTGAGATTGAAACTTTAACTTGGCTTCTGCACAAGTTACTAAATTCTCTGGTTGGGCTCAGATACTTTTATACAAGTGTTTATTGTACCATCAGTTTTAAAAGTCGGATTATCTAGGTAAAAGATCTAACAATCAGGAGACTGGAATAATGACTTCTACCTTTATATGAGACATGACCCCTCCTCAAAGCCTGCTCCTGATTCTGATCAAAGCTCTCTCTTTTTCTCTCTTAAAGGAAGGGAAACTAACAAATTTTTGGATATATTTTAAGATGAACACACCATCTGAAGTAAAGGAGCTTAGTGTAATTGTAGGCCAAGGATTGGGTGTATGAACAGTTGGAGCTTGAATCACAGCTACTTTGGGTGGAAAAAAGTTTTATATCCCTTGGAACTTTAGAGACAGAAAGTATATGAGGAAAGCATTTAGAAACTACTTTGGGCCTTGTACCCCTTCCTTTTATTAATATAAGAAATATTTATAGAATGTTATTAGGAGCTGGAAAAACAAGGAAGTCAGAATAAAGGATGTTTAAAGTTCTGATTTTCTATAGAAGTAAACTTCCTCAGCCTCTATGAAACTTGAAGTATTAGGTGGCTGACCTTGCACTCCATTTTATACTGCTCCATTCATTAAAATCACTAGCCTCGGTCATTTGCATCACCTGCCTGCCCTTGTAGGCATGGCCATTTACATTATTCCAACAAAGGGCTAAGGACTCTCTTCTCTTTTAATTTGATAGCAGGAGTGTTGCAAGACCAGGAACATCACATTGGAAACAGAATTTCTGTGATCTTTGTTGATTCCATCTGTACCTTTGCAGCCCTCTTTGGAGTTTTTCAGTCGTGTCCCTCCAGGGACTGAAATCTTATAATAAGAACATATGGGATTAGATCAAACTACGTTACATATGATCTTCAAACTGGGTGTAATGCTATGTGATGGCTTCCCAAGAAATGTTTTCTTATGGATAATTATAAGGAAATTAATCTTGGGCTGGGAAGGTGGTTCAGTGGTAAAGTGCTTGCCTTGCATGCATGAGGCCCTGGGTTCGTTCCTCAGCACCACATAAGCAGAAAAAGCCGGAAGTGGGGCTGACGCTCAAGTGGTAGAGTGTTAGCCTTGAGCTGAAGAGCTGAGGGACAGTGCCCAGGCCCAGCTTTCAGGCCCCACAACCGACCAAAAAAAATTAATCTTAAGGCCCTCTATATGTAATACATTCTTCTGAAAATTTACTGAGTATGAGTCTAGGTTTTTTAATTGTCTTTCTTCTATATTATTATTTTAAAATATATTTAAAGATCACTGCCCTTAACATGACACCAAAACACCACATGTAGCAAACAGATTTCCCCTAATGATGGGTTGTTACCATACACTGTGGGCTTTCCCTTCTTATGTACGTGTGAAAGGTGAATAACAAATTACAAATGAGGTATTTGGAATCATGAATTTTCAGACTTCATCTATATGGAAAAGTAGAATGATGGTGATGGAAGGTTTTATTGGACACCTTTTACTTTTCATTCCTATTCTTATCAAAGAAATGTCTTGTTCTTGAGAAAATGCTGAGAGACTGAAACAATGAAAAAAAAGTGGATAGAAAATGCCAATCACCAAGAATGGTTTTGTCATATCGCTTTATACAAAACATGAAGAATAGAAATGAAATAGCAAACACTACAGTCCCCAAGAACCATTTCTAGGATATATGTGGTGCAGGAAGCAAAGTAACTTTGAATAGCTAAGGCAGTAATGATTAACTAGTTTATTATATCTTATTCATTTTGTTATATATTAAACTACTTAGCTTATATTTTGAGTTTTGAGCTTGCTGTATGCCCAGGCTGGCATTCAGCTCCAGCAATCCCCCTGCTTATCTCTAAAAAGCTACATGGGCAGAGCTACAGGTTTTGTACTCTATATTTAGCTGGCTGATTATTTTAAATATAGCTAGAAAGTTTTTTTTGATACCTCCAAATGTTTATAGACATAGAGAATAAAATAATTTCATGTGGATTCTTTCAGATTTGAAGTGCACGAGTTAATAATGTTGTCAGGAGCTATTGTATCAATTCTTGGCATGAAATATTTATTCAATTACAGTCAATTCTCATTTTATCCTATAACATGTTTAATATCAATTTCATAATAGCAACAAAAATTGTGTGCTGTCAGACTAATTACTAGCCTACAACCTTTTCATTATTCTTGATATTTCTGCCAGTCAGCAGTATGCAATAGTTGCATGCAGTTTTGCTGGAGACATGCCATAGTTTGAATAATATTTTCTCTTTTTTTTTTGCTTTAAGCTTGTTTTTCAGTTAGAGTCTCTGGCTTTTGCCTTGGCCTGGCCTCAGACTGAGATCTACCAACCTCTTTCTCACAAGTAGCAAGATTTACAGGTGCATGCCATATCCCCTGACCTGAAAACAAAAAATCTGAAGCAAAATGTCATCAAAGCATTTAACAACAACAACAAAAAAAACACATGGTTTTGGCAAAAATAAAAACGCATCCCTCTGGAATAGATCATGGTGAAGCAAGAAGCTCATGAATCTGCAGGATTCACAGTATTGCATGTGTTCACTGGGCTTACCTCCAAGTAACTACATAGAGGGTGTAGGAAATTAATCCATTCCCTCATACAATACACAGTGCCATTCATGTACAGCTTATCTATTGCACCAAGAGACCTGTGTGGCTATGTGAAAGCCTCATGGAAAGAGAATTTTAAGAATGCACTAATTTGCTGATTCCTTCAAGTTGAGCAGCTTTAATGATTAGTTAGGACCTTTCTGAGCTTAAGGCACCTATTAAACCAACACACTGGTTCTAACTGAGCTCTCAGAGGCTGCATGAGACAACTGCCTTTTTCCTCAAAGCAGCACCTGTTATACCCTGTTCCCCTGGATTTTTTTTTCTCCTCGGGGCCAAACCATGTCAGTACTCTTAGCTAGTTTTACTGAGACTTAATTTCTGGGATTTTGAACATCCCTTTTTTCCTTATGACAGGAACCCTTGTCTGTGACCAACCCATCATTTAAAAAATGATGTTCACTCTACGGTGCTCTGGCAAGGGTCATGACAGCCAAGTGGAAGGGAGAAGTGAATGGATTAACTCTACACAGCCCCGTGTGCTCTTCCTCACCCCCATTCCTAAGCAAAATCTCCTTCCTACTCTTCATTGTAGTGATAAGGCTCTCATGCACCCTGAGAAAGGAGATAGTAACTTCTTATCTTGGAGACCCCAGGCTATTGTTCTCTTATTACTTAGGTTTTGAAGAAAAGATGCTAGATAGCTGGGCAAAAGAAACAAGCAAGAATGCCAAGTCTCCTCTAGGTTGTCTTGGTGAATTATTCCTTAAAATACCCAGGCTAAACCAGGTGCTGGTGGCTCATGTCTGTAACCCTAGCTACTCAGGAGACTGAGATCTGAGGATTGAAGTTTAAAGCCAGCTTGGACAAGAAACTCTATGAGTCTCATATGTCTAATTAACCTCCTGAAAACCCAGAAGTGGTGCTGTGGTAGAATGCTAGCCTTGAGCAAAAAAAGCTCCCGGATAGCACCCAGGCCATGAGTTCAAGTCTCAGAATTGGTAAGGCAAAATAAAACAAAAACAAAAACAACTGTCTAGTTTCTGCAAAACAGATGTGCCCTGCAGAGTTGAGGGCACTGCTTTCTAGGAGAGAAGGCTAGATGGAACTCTAATATGTCCTTAACAACCAGGGTCTGCCTTATGTGATATGATAATGAGGGGGAATTTGATACAAGTTTCTGTGGAGGAGGAGAATTAGCTCAAAAGGACATATTTTTAAGTGTGGTAGCAGTCCCCAGGAAGAGTGTGAAAAATAGCCGTTGCATGTGTAGCACGCTTGAGACATGTATCATTTTGCAAAGGGCCTCTCTATCACACTTGTGAAGTCAGCTTCATTATCTCAGTTCAGAGATAAGTCATCACTTAGAGTAAAGTGTCTTTTCTAAGAGAGCAGAGCAGGGCCTGGGGAGGAAGCTCAGTAGTAGAGTGTTTTTCTAGCATGTGAAAAGTCTGCATTCAATCCCAGCCCTGCCAAAAAGCAGTTGATCCATCAATCCATCAATCAAGCCTTGCAGAGCTAATCTTCACCTGTCCATGGTACCACTTTAGGACATTTACCTCTGCTACTTCCAATTTCCTCCCTTCACCAGGGCCTTTCTTTCTTCCTATATTAGTCAATGAGAAACACTGGAAATATGCAAATTAGTCTCCAGAGAAAGATTGTCCATAGGACATAACTGATCTAAAGACATTTATTGTCAGGTTCTGTCTTACAGAATTATAGAGACTGAGAAAGTCTGTCTTCCATCTTTCAATCTGGGTACCCAGAAAAGCCAGAGGGTCGTTCAAAAGCCTG